GTAACTGCCAGTTTTGTGGAATTACCTTATGGAGGACTTTCCTTAATACCTCTCAGCTTTGGGCTCCGGTCTGCCTTCACGAGCTGCACTACCTTTGCTTGCCGAGACAGGATTCGAGTTGGGTGGGGTGCTTTGCCCAGCATTCGCGTTTGAATTCTTTTCGGTGGTCGTGTAGATACGACTCTTATTGTTGCCCGTTCTTGAACTTGAAGCACCCGACGTTGTGGGCCGTTCTCTAGTTTTCTTCTTGTCATCGGCTACAGTACGTAGCAGATGAGTCATCGACTTGTTTCCTATCGTCAACCGGCTTCTCATTGACCGCTGCTGTTACTGGTCGTTGCTTCCCTTTTCTATCTATGCTTGTCGTAGTAGAAGCTTTTACAGAGATTGAACTGCGTTTACGGCAGACAATCATGGGAGCAGCAGGCTTTGGTTTAAATAGCATTGAATCCAGCGGTTTGATTTTGGATGGTACTGGAAGAGCAGGAAGAAGTGGTGCGGGTGGGTCCTCTGCGGGTCGATCTAATTTCCGAGGTATTTTCGCCATTTCCTTTCTGACAAGCTCTCGAAGTGCAGTTGTGGCAGCTGATGAATTCTTGGGGAAGAATACAAATGTGGTGTATTCCCTAATTTTCTTATGCAATAGTTGTAGTTATGCTGGTTATCACAAGAAAAGAAAAATACTGATTGCATGCACCATGAATTCTGTTTTGAACCTTTCATTTCCTTTATTTGTGTGCTCACCCAATTCTGTTCCTATTTTAATGGCTTAAGAGAATTTTCATTCAATGAAAATAACTGAATTGGGATTGTGTGCTCCCCCAATTCGGTGTGGCAACCGGCTCTACGTCAGTTAGCACTAAAGATACTATTTTGGCACTGCAAATTCACAGAAGGATAAACCTAACTACTTGGGGAAATTTTGTGCAAAATGCAGATGCATGGGATTGGGGCGGATTTGTTATGGTCCCGCGCGTAGGATCCCGTCACGTGCCGGTCCACGGTGTGAAGACACTGCTTTCCCTTGCGCCTTCCTTTGCGTGCAGACTCTATTGCAGCAATCGCGTGGGTGATTTGTCCAAGAGACCACCCGAACTCTCCCTTGGGGTGATTTGTCCAAGAGACCACCCGAACTCTTCTCACTATTTTTTTGGCTGGAAAACTGAATGCCTTTATTTCAATTTGTAGTTCCTTAAATAGGAGATTACAGAAGAGAATTCCTAATTAAACTCAAACTCCAATTTGAACTCAAACTCCTAATTACCTACTCCTAATGGTAACTCACTCTTACTTAAGATAAGATAAGGATAAGATAAGATGAGGGATAAGGGATAAGGGATAAGATAAGGATAAGGTAGGTTGGCGGCGAGTTGGCTTGACGTGTCCAGATAAGGGTGGGCCCACCCCTATGAGCTGTCGTGTA